TCCTGCTGTTTTCCATTTTTTGAGAGCAACTGACTCCTCACAAGCACTTGGAAAGACTAAACTAGATCTGCTCCTCTGTACAATTACAGGATGCATCAGGCCACAACTAACATAAACAAAATTTCAACAGCAAAGAAGATTCCAACTTGATTAAGAGAGAAGGCATCATCCATTTTCCAAAAGGAAGCCAACTGAATGAATCAATTATTCTGGGATGCCAAATTTTACTGCTATGTAAATATGCAATTAAAAAAAACAATAATATTGTATCAAGCCATTAACACAGTACTTTTTTCATTACTAAAATTGGAATGGTGTCAAGCCAACTATAAACATATTTTGCATTTCAAGGTTCATGAAACAGTTCTATTCTTATAGCAAACATGACCACACTGAATTGCTGCCAAAACATTCCTGGACTAGTGCTCAGAGGCCAAATTCTTCAACACTATATAGCATGAGATGAAGGACAAAGGCCTATACATTGAGAAACAAATTTATGTGAACACAAACTTAGTCTATCACAATTAACACTTGCTGTGTGCCTAACACCTGTTATTTTCAGACATTGCTATCACTACGAAAACCTATTTAGTGCTTGTGCTTCTCTTATGTAAGGGAAAAAAAAAAATCATTTAAAAGAGTATACCAACACAATCCTTATAACAAGTGTAATGATCATAAGCAAACCTGCAACAGATCTTCAACCTTAAATAGTATGGTATAAGAAAGGAACTGTAAGAAAACAAAACAAAAACACAATACCACCACCAACACCCATCTCCTGGATTGTTTTTAATTCAGGGTAGGGGCAAGGCTTCGGAGGGGAAGCTGGAAAACACCGCTTAGAAGACAATATCATGAAGCTGGGCACAATGGTTCCCTCAACTTTTTTATCCTGAGTTACACCAAGCCAGACTCACTTTTTCTCCTTGTCAGTCATTTGTAATAATCCATATTCTCCATAGGCGGCGAAACTACCTTTTAAGTATATGTATACATGCTATGTGTATGTATACACATATTGTGTTGAATACTACAGTTTTAATTGAAGTCTAACTCAATCTGAAACCATGAATGCTACCTACATGAAATACACATACCAAGTTTTATTATTTCCTAATTCTTTTCCATAAATGCACAATTATAACATTACTAGGTTTATACATTATTTCTTGTAGGTTTTCTTTTTTTTCAGAAGAAAAAAAGCCTACCTACAAGAAATAATGTGTACATGTAGTAACATTATGATCACAGGAGAACCAATCTCCTTTTTCAGAGAAAAAAAGAACTGTCACGAATTGAGTGTTTGTTGGTTAGAGAGCACAAAAGTGTGATACATGCTCTTGAGGCAAGTGCTGTGCTGGTATTTCATTATAAAGATTATTAGAGGTTTCTTTGTAAATTGAAGCTTGTTTCCTATAAAGTGTACTTGAAGTGAACTTAAATAACATTGAAGTTACCTGAAATCACTCATTATTTCAGTTGATGCATAACTGAATTCACCCAGAGAAGTGGTTTAAGTTTCTTGATATATAGCCCAGCTAATGTTCAGCATTTTAACTTACAATTGTGTATTTATTAGAATAAACCAGACTGATCTATATGACTCAGTCACCAGAGTATCACTAGCAATCTAATTAGATAAAAGGATCTGTCATCTCTTTTGTAACCATCTCCATGAAAATGCTATTTTTGCATCTTCTGGGAAAAC